TTTTTGGTTTGATTTTATATTATACTTATAAAATTATAACTGGTTTTTATATCCTGACTAGGTCAGTAAAGTGATATTTAAAAACATTTTTTTCTAGATAATTAACCAATAAAAATTCTCCATTCAATCATCATATGGCCAAGCAAGAATATTTGGTTCAGGCTACGATTTTCTGCAATGATATTTTACAGATGTTTTTATTAATTTTGAGGCATCTACTAAAAAATTGACTAAATGATTATTTGGCTGCTTCGATTAGTTTGGTTCAGAAATAATAAACTTTTTAATTTGGATTTGATTAGTATATATAATGATATGTGAGAGATAGTCTAGAAAAATGTTAGTTTGAGAATTTGAGAATTCTTCGGCTGATCATCAAAATGATTACAGCCGTCTTTAAAAATTTGTGAAAAGATACAGATCATTATACTATGGAGAATTCACGATAATCCAGATTTCTAATTAAATTTTTAATTTTTACTAAGCAGTTTCCACATTCTTTGATTCTCCACATGAGTATATAGAAATCGTTTTCCACATCTTTTTGAAAATAGCTATAATAAAGAATTAATGATCAAGAATCTTCTAATTCCTAAATTGAAAATTTCAATACATAGTGATAGTACTCTAAATGATACTACAAGGCCAACACATCTATACTATTAAAATTCTAACCGTTCAGAATAAAATGAATCGGATTGGCCAATTTTTAGTCCCAAGATCAGTGTTGCAAAAATACATAATCGTCACACCGACTGCGGATCATTCAGGGACCTGAAATACTCTGTAATTTGTACATATGTTTTATATTTATTTTATAGTAGCTTATTCTCAAGGCACGTTTTACGTCCGCGATAATATAAGCTACGATGACATGCTTAAATTTTTGATTAGATCATTTAATAATGGAACATACGTACACATAATTGTAGCACGGACGTAAAGAGTGCTCTGAGACTAGTTTAAAATTAAGTTTTCACTTGAACGTATATCCAGTATGTTTGGTGTGTTTGTCTTTACGAAAATTTATGGCGAATATGATTCTTGCCAACCAACAAATCTTTTTTTTCAAAAAAAAAAAAGAGTAAAAAAGTTTCGAATATAAGCTTTCATAATAAATACCAATACTACTGCCAAACCTCTTAAAACCGATATGCATGGTGGACAGGTTTGTATCGGTATTGAGAGTAGTGATTGGACCCGTCAAAAAAAATGCCACCCGGGTCACCCGCGGGTGGACCCATGAGCCACCCGGGTGGGTTAAAAAAGCAACCCTTCGAGTGGATTCATGAGTCACCTAGGTGAAAATAGAGCATTACAGCTGTTTTCATAAATTCCGGAACAACTGAAAAAAATTGCCGATGACCGAATCGATAAGCTTCAGAAGTCGGTTACTTATTGATTCCGACTCGGTAACTTATCAATTCGGTCATCGGCAATTTTTTCAGTTGTTCCAGAATTTATAAAAACAGCTGTAAAAATAAAATAGTAATTTATTTGGAAATTTTATCAAAATGGTAACATTTAAAATTTTACCTCCGATTCATTGAATGAGTGTCTAGTCTAATACTGTAATATAAACCCATTTTGAAAGTTTTTTTTTTTAAGAAAAAAAGACAATTAATATACATATAAGTGCATATTTGGATTAAAGTTACAATTATTCTACCCGGATGGCCAAAACTTCACCCAGGTCACCCGTCCACCCGCGGGTGACCCGGGTGGCACCTATCCGGTTCCAATCACTAATTGAGAGGTTATCACATTATAAACTACTGTTGAACTTCCCAAACCGATCCTGTCAAAATCGATAACCTGTCAAATCTGATAAAATATTAATCTACCAAGTTCGTTTCCGCTATATAAATCTAATAGTTTATAATGTTTCAAATTTGATAAAATATTATATTAATCGTTTTCGCAATATAAATCATGTTTAAATCTGATAACCTCTCAATACCAACACAAATCTGTCCACCATGCATATTGGTTTTAAGAGGTTTGACAGTATATGATTCTGAGTATGTAATCAGCAACGCCTTTGATTAGTAGAGGAAACTTTGCTGTCTCTCAGTAACCCGTAAGTTAAGAAATATATCTAAGGATATATTGACACTTGTTTAGTAAAGCGCTGATGGGCTCTGCAGCTGCTATTGGCAGTGCAAGGACCTCATTTTTGGTAATTAGGCTCCGGCTGCCTTAGGCAATGCAGGGAACTCGTGTTTGGTGTTTAAGCCCCACAACTGCTGTAGGCAATGTAAGGGCCTATATCTTAGTAGCATTCACATCTTCAGATTATAGTTGTTAAACGAAACAAGGAGGTTTTGGCTAACGAAACGCAAAACCTAGTTTCATTTTTCGTCAAATAGTGAAACTGTAAAGGACGAATTTACAAAAGGAAATGATCATCCATTATGTAAAGTAATTCGATGATTTTGGCTTAAATGAATGCTAAGACTCCAAGTGTTCATCAGATCCAAAATCATCAAAAGAGCACATCCGTTCTTGAAATATTGTATTATTTGGTGACAATTCATTGTGAAATCGGAAATGAATAGCAATTCTATAATGCTTATCTCAAGAACAAATCTTTTTTAAATGAATGCACTGAATTGTAGCATTCGTTTAGATCCAAATTCATTAAACCAATTTAGCTGTTCTCGATTACTGATTCATCTGTCCTGGTTTTTGTACGTACAACATATTTCGTGGCCTTTATTACGTAAACTAACATTGATACACGTATATGTTATCAAAACTACAATATCAATTATAATGCTTAAAATTCACGTAGTCCAAGTATATACTTAGCTTCTTTTTTTTTTTTAGAGGAAGCTCTAGGGTTTGGTAATAGATATGTAATGGGCTATAAGATATGAATTGTTTGTGATATTTATATAGAGCCTGTAATGATAGCGAATGGGAATTCCTATATGTTATTCCTGTGTAGATAAAGCCATCTGATCGAGCAATAATAAAATAAGCTTTAATCTTTTATACTATAAAAAAAAAAGCCGTGCGGCCGTGTCACTGATCACTATCTCATAACCAAGTATATAATTTTGTATGTCCTTATGTTTTAAGTGATTTGGTTAGTTCTTTTATGATGGATTTAAAGTTTGTACCATTCTTGATTATTTTGCATTACTCAGCTAGTAATTGATTATACAACAACCTCTCTGACAAAATATTTATAGTTATTTTGCAGCTTTGGAAGTATATAATCTTTATTTTATTCAAAAAAAATATTTGCTTATAATTTACTACTTACAGGAATATGTGAACAAGTTTATGAAATATCACAGAAAAAAGAAGTAATCAATATACATCATTACAATATTTCAGATGACAGCTTCCTAATTCTTCTCAAATAAAAATGTTGTTAGAGTCAAAGATTAAAAAATTTAAAGATTTTTTCTAAATTCTTTTTTTCAATTTTGCATTAAATACACAAATCTATATAAATTGGTTTTATTAATAACTTCAGCATAAAATCATGATCGCATTTAATATTTATCATCTATAAATATTATAAATGTTAAAAAATTTTCTGCTAATGTAACGGTAATATAAAAATGAACTATATACAGTAGAAGCTAATTTATCTCACTAGCTACTCACCAAGAAATTAGCTAACTTCCCCAATATTGCTTCAAGAGAGCCCATCCCAAATGATTATGTAATGTCACATGTAAGTTAGCCAATTTCAAATTATGGCTTTTAAAAAAAATAGAATCTGGAGAAAACCTAATTTAATTAATGTAATGGGTCGAAGATGGGATCAACCAAATCTTAACTTTAGCTATCGTTATCGGGAAATGATTATCAGAATCAGCTTTATAAATTCAGTAATTATTAGAGTTAGACTTATAAGTTTAAATTAGAACCTTCTAAGGCCAATTTATAAGTCCGATAGAATAAAATTGGTCCAAGCGTAAGTGCCCAACATTGTACCTACATGTGAAGTCACATGGTGGAAGCCTCTCACGGGCAACAATCAACGCACAATTAATATCAAAAGAACTTGAAGAGATCTTACCAAAAGTTCAGATTTTAATCATTAAATTTATTTACTGAAAAAAATACGATTTTATTGGAAGAAAAGTATGAGGATTTGAAATTATTGGTATGATACAAAAAAAAAATTTTTTTTGATCTTCAGAAAGTTTACCTCTGCTATGAATGTGAAATGTGCTAAAAGCTTTGTAATCCGATTAAATTGATTATTAATCAATTTGTAAACTCATGTAATGCACATAAAATAATACAAGGTTTTTAGACATTTGGGAATGGGGAAAATAGAATTACGGAGGATTAAGGCCAGATCTACTACTATAATACGTGGCACCTGGAGTCATATTTTAAATAAATTCGGATATAATTTCACCGTACACGTATACAATATTATAATAATTATACTGTATAGTTCAATATCAGACACTGTATACGTATCAAATAATTTTTTTTTTTTACAAGTGGAATTTTATTATGCGTTTAATATTACTCGGTAGAACTATCAATGACTAGAATGACTATAACGACAAGAAAATACTTATTCCGATAGCATTCTGCACCCTTATCGTTATAACAAGCAAAAAAAATTGAATCAATGATCCATACTTGATCTTGATACTATGCTAAATAACGATAAGTTGATATATGAAATAATATCTCAATTTAACTCGAAGTGAAAAAATCACGATCTCGTAAACTACATGATACTCAATGTTAACCCTCCACGATGATCGATAATCGATGATCGACTACATCGAGATCACATCGGTTAAATTTTACGTGAAACAAAAAATTGGGATTAAAAAACTGCGACAACACAAAATCTTAAGAGAATGTCCGTTATTGATGAAAAAAAAACTATCGTTCAATTTATATTAACTACTTAATGGAATATATATGATGAATATAAACGAATATTATGTTATAATATATATATATATTATTTATGGTTTTTTTTTTTGGTTTTTTTTTTTTTGTTGAAACTTTTAATGAGCTTCGATAATGGTATTATCAACTTGTAGAGCTGCTTTTTTCTCATTTGCGATTTGCCTTGCCTTACAATGAAGGTCACCAACTTGTTTCGTCACTTTTTCATAAATGTCAAGAGCAAGTTTACCGGTGTTCGAATCAAGAACACAGTGCGCTTTGTCTTGAGCCTGAGATACGGTTTTCTTGACCTTATCTTGAACGGCATACTTAGTATCTAACTCGCGTACAGTATCGGTTACCTTATATCTGTCATCAATTGCTGCAACTGATATATTAGAAAAAATAATAATTTAAGTTGATATTTTAGTTATAAAAAATAAATACAACGAAAAGAAAAAAGTATTACGATTTGCTTGGAAAAAGGTAAAATAATGCTTGATAATTGTGCTAAGACCATATTTAGCTAATAATTATAACACAGTAATAATATTCATTAATTATATATCTAAATAGTAGGTACTTAAACCAAATTTACAATAAAATAGATTTTTGGATATATTTTTACATACCATCAACTTCAGCACCTTTCTCGAGGAGGGTATCTTGTAATTGATAACCAGCGGCCAGAATTTCGGCCAATATGACTAACTTTGATTTTCCTTCTTGACCATCATACCCTTCGCCTCCATCTAAACATTCATCGTTGCATGCATCGTCAGCAGGTTGGACAATAATTTTAGAGTCTCCAATAACAGCTTTTGTCAACATCAGGGCAGTTTTTGCAGCAGATTCTTTTTCAAATGTGATATAGGCAGTTTGTTTATCGCTACCTTCTTCCCTATAGAGATATTATTGATGAAATAAAATATAAAATATAAAAGATATTAGTGACATAAATGAATGAATATTTAATAATAATAATTATATTATATATAGAATAAAATTCTATATATTTACTCACTTTCTTAATTCGAATTCTTTGATTTTACCACAAAATAAGAAAAAGTCTTTTACTATAGTGGTACAAAATTTAGGTAACAATTAGTTAATTTGATTTCTCTCACACTTCATTAATATTTAAGAACAAAAAATAAGCTGCGCGCTCAAAAAAAAAAAATAATAATAATAAAAAATAAAAATAAAAACTAATAATAAAAATAAAAAATAAAAATATGCTACGCATACACACGAATAGTATTTTTTTTTACAAATATTTACAACTATTTTTTACAAAAATAATAGCATACCAGTTTTTTCCGAAGCACTAGAACTAATGCAAGTTACGATAATTTTCTTGTTCATATTCAATAAACGAGGTATTTATAAACAAATTCACAAATAAGTTTTTTTTTTTGTAAAATACAATGATTTAAATCAAAAAGACGATTTACTTATATAAGTTTTTTTTTTTTCAGGGTCAAAAGACTGACTATAGAAATATTTACAGATCCTTGTTTCAATATTGCATGATCTGCATTGGGAAACTCATATGACATGACGTACAATTGTTTAGATTCTAGAATAAAATTTCTAAGTGGATAATGCTCGTGAAAATAGTGTGAAAATTTGTGAAAAAAGAAAAGTGCACAGTTAAAAAACAATCTATACGTTGATTCTATAATTAGAATTGGTCAAGAACTAATTCAATGATAAAGCTGTTATGGTATTACTTAATCAATCATTTTGATCCTGATGCTCAGAGGCGTGGAAAATGATAAACTATGAATAAGCATGACGATCCAGTATAAGAATATCATCGTAAATCAAAAATACTTTAAATATATATTGTACTACATACAGCATATTGCAGATTTTTTTTTATTATTATGAATCCCTATAAATTGATTATCTTTTTGTTTGTCTAATCCGATCGTTAGTTCGTGAGTTAGCACACGTGAATTCTTCATTCCCCGAGATCAATCCTTAGGGTTAGGTATACAAAGCTCCCTTTTTTGAAATTTATCAAATGATTACTTTTGAAATTTCCTGTTGGCTCTAGATATAACTCCAGAATTGTCTACAACTTTGGACTATTTGTTTAATCTTTTATAAGCAAAAACTTTCCCGAAACTTTTTCATTGTACTGAATGTGATAACGTATAAATTAGACTTATTTAAAATGCTTATTAAGTGCTCTTCACATGAAATACGTATCAAATTTTAATTATAAGAACTAACTTGTATGCTCATGGTGTAATTTTCAATACCCAATACGTTATACTAAGTCACACTAATTATGCACAATTATCGTTATTCAATGGAACTTATCGTTATACGTATGTAACAGTAATGTTTCCTAACACGTACAACAACAATTTTAAAATTTTTACGCAATAAAAGTCACATGGATAAAAACAAGTGTGTACGTACAATTGTTGGATTGTTATATTTAACTTTCTAATTTTTCTAAATATGCATTCCATCCAGCATTTCTATATCGTTGCGCCTCGATTACCGCATCTTTACCTTTTCCATAAATCCCACGCCCTACAATAATAATATCACTACCATTTTCAATGACATTTCTAGGTGTTTTATATTGTTGTCCTAAATCATCATTAGAAACATCTAAAGAAATTCCTGGCGTCATGATAATTAATTCTTCACAAGAATTAAATTTTTTTCCTGAAATGAATCCGATCACAAAATCTTTATGCCTTTTAGCCATTTCAATTGTGGCTTCTGTATAAGCCCCTGTAGCCAAATTTCCTTTTGAAGACATCTCTGCGAGGAGTAATAATCCTCGATTTAAAGGTAATCCAATTTCCTTCAATCCTGTTATAATACCATCTCCAGGTATTGCGTGCGCATCTACAATATCTGCCCATTCTGCGATTTTATAAATACCTTTAGAATATTGATGTTTTACTGTATTCCCTATTTCATTATATTCATAATTATAAATTTTTATGAATATAATATAATTTTGTATATAAAAATATAAATAATCATTTTAAAATATATATTTTGATAATCAAGTTTTCTAAAATAACATAATAAGAAATTTCACCAATATCTGCAAATTTTCTGTCTTCAAAGATTATAAAATCATGTTTCTTTTGTAATTTTTTAAGTTTATCGATAAGATCTTGATCAAAATCTTCCAATATATCAACATGTGTCTAAATACAATAAAAATTATTATTAAATGTTAAATAAACGTTAATCTTGAATATTTTTTCAATGTACAATTTCGTTAAAAAGATTAATTGACCATTTTAATTAGTTAACACGCCTGCAAACTTTTTACAGAGACTTTTGTACACGTTCGTAACCGTATACATTGATTATACCAATGTACATTCGATGAACTATGATATTTGAAGGTATTTGTATATGACTTACTTTCAAACAACAGATATGTGGCCCAACTTTGTCTGCAATGTCAAGAAATTCTTGTTTGGTTGTCACGTCAAGTGCTACCGCAAGATTAGATTTTTTACGTTCCATAAGCGTAAGTAACTCTCGTGCAGTCTTGTTTGGCAAGCTTATGGCACGTTCTCCATATGTCTTCATTTTAGTTGTCATATTTCAAATGTTTAAATTTTATTACCGGAAAACTATTGCTAAAGCTAATTGATAAACCAAGGTTTTTTCTCGCGCCTTTTTATTTTATTAAGTAGGCATAGTGAATTAGGAAAATGTACCGACGAAAATCCGTAAGTGAAAAAGTCGAAAATCCCAAAAAGACGTTTGACAAAAAAAAAAACAAACCAATTTAAACATTGCTTAGCATCGTTATCAATGTTTTAATAATCTATAATAAAATAAAATTGATTTCGAAATTTATAGCCAATCAGAATTCTTGTAAATCAGCCAATAAAAATAAGTATTGTATTGCCTATTGTCGATCGCACCTTTGAAGAATGAAATGTTCGAGTAATATAAAACCATTTGAAAAAAAAGAACTTTGATTGCTATATAAAAAGGTTTGATTTCTAGAATAACAATAAAAATAAATTGTCGCTTAACAGATATAAGGCAAGTTAGAGTTTTTTATAATTAGATAGCAACCTTTTTTGATATTGGTACAGATAACTTTCTAGATTATTTAGATAATTTTCTAGGTTGTTATTATTTTGTATTTAGGTTTTTAGCTTTTTTAATACTGTTTTTTGTGATGCAAATAATTTTTTTAACTGTTTTTTTTAGTTAAATTAAAAATTTTTTTTATTAAAAATATATATATATATATTTTATACTAGAGTAATAAATTTGATTATTTAATAACTACAATCTTTGACAGTGCACAGAAAAGACCCGAATTTGGAAGTTAGAACCAAGATTGGAGAACTGAACGACAACAAGATCCTTTAGTGGGGGGATTTACTAACCTGATCACCAACTTAGGAAAGCTGAAAATCTGTGAGGCTGTTATGGAGTACACCAACCCTGGCCAGCTGGTGTAGGAAACCAGTGGTGGGGGCTCTATCCACCAAGACCAGGGGCTATGGAAGTCGGGTGGAAAACCAGCCAGACAGAAAAATGCCAGGTGTGTTCAGAGGACCAGCCAACCAAACTGAAGAAAAAGAACATGTGCTGGAAAATCATGTACCAGGTGGACTACTTAAATTAGATACCAAAAGTACACGTGTGGCTTGATGTACCCTTGTTGTAACTATATAACCTGAAGTTAATAAATTAATAAAAAGTCCCTGGCCATAGAGGTCACCTTAACACCTAAAAAAAAAAAAAAGAAATAGGTTGTCTGATATGGGGATATTGTATATTGCTATATGAGTTGTTTGATGGTTTTAGATTGAATTGTAATGTTAAAGAAGAGAGTTGTTGTGATTTAAGAGGAATATAGCAAAACCAGTAGAGAAGAGAAGAAAAAAGTAGTATAAAGTGATTAGGAAGTGAATATAACTTATATGAAAAGTAAATATGTACTTCAGTATAATCATTATTATGATCTTTATTGTTTAAAATTGAAATTTTAATAAGATCTATTAAGTAATATGAGGGGAAGTTATACTTGATATATTGAAGAAAGGTAAAGATAGTTTGAGGATATTCTAATGGTGATAATCTATAATAAAAGAAAAACTTGTTATAGCATATAAGAGAGTTTATAGAGCCTAAATCCTTAGTTATTTGTGTGATAGATTCAAGTTGTAGATCATTGAGGCTGTGTATTGAGTTGTTAATTGGGTCAGAGTCAGAGAGTAGTTCATTGTCAAGGTTGAAGTTTGTAGAAGGCTAGTTGGTTAGATTTAAAAAAGGTGATGTTATTTGTAGTTTATAGAAAGCTAATGATGTTGAAGATGAAGCCATATAGAAAATGTCTTCTATAGTAGTCACTATATGCCTGGCTTCGCAAGATTCAGAAGTCCTCAGATTAAGCATTAGAGAACCATTGTTATCTGGATCTTTTAAGTAAATAATCAAATTTATTTTTTTATTTTTTTTCGGTATTAAGATAACCTCCTTGGCCTAGAAACTTTTTATTAGTAATCATTAGTTATTATAGTTATACAACTAGCCACATGTGCATCTTTTGAGTGCCTATTTAAGTAGTCTGCCCACAGGTTCTACACTAGATGTCGTATCTATAACCCAACTAGGGAGTTACCCTTTTAAACCTTCTGATCCTAACTGTATTTATAACCTATTATACTAACCCAGGAACTACTATCTGGTCCATTCTTCTAGATTTTGCACCTTGCCTTAGGACTTTTGTGACTTATCCTGGGTTTGCACTGACTAATTACCGGCTTGCATTCCTCTGTTGAGCGGACGCACAGCTATCTATGAAGTAAACCTACCAGAGCTTTCCCTATTCCATTTTGGGCCAACCTTGGTTTTGCGTAGTTGCCGAGGCTTCCACTTGCAGTTGAACTATTACCCATTTAACTGCTTTTGCCTTTATAAGGTTCGCTTTCCAATCCCAATACCCACATTCGGACCTTTTCTTTTTCTATTATTTCTTTATTAGTCCATCTCTTACTTCCAACCGATGACCTGGAAGATTTGACCTTGGCTTGGCATTAGGTGCCTAGTGCTCTCATTTCATCTTGGTATATGATTTCTTAGCATATGTTCTTTTTCTCCAATTTGGTTGGCTGGTCCTCCGGACACACCCGGCATTTTTCTGTCCAACTGGCTTCCTGCCTGACTTCCATAGCCTCTGGTCTTGGTAGGTAGGGCCCTACTACTGGTTTCTCATGCCAGCTAGCCAGG